AGACCAGGCTGGTCTTGAACTCACAGAGATCCGCCTGCCTCTGCCTCCCAAGTGCTGGGATTAAAGGCGTGCGCCACCACCGCCTGGCCTGTTTTTTAGTTTTTGACTAGTGTCATGAGTGTTCTGTGAACATTCCTGGAAGCAAAAGCTTGTACAAATTCATTAACTTTTCTCCTAGGAGAAATTCCTAGAAGTGGGATTGTGATGTCAAAGATATGTGAACTGGCACAGGCTAAAGTCATTTGAGAGAAGAGAACCACAATTAAGAAAATGTCTTTGTAAGTTTGGGATGTTTTCTTAATTAGTGTTTGATGGGGGAGAGCCCAGCAATTGTGAAAGGCACCATCGCTGGGCTGGTGGTCCAGGGTTCTGTAAGAAAGCAGATTGGGGAAGCCCTGATGAGCAAGCCAGTAAGCAACAGCCCTCCATGGCCTCTGCATCAGCTCCTGCCTCCAGGTTCCTGCCCCGTTTGAGTTCCTGTCCTGACTTCAGTGATGAACAGTGATATGGGAGTGTAAACCAAATGAACAGGAGCTAGTTCCAGGATAGCTAGGGCTGTTACACAGAGAAATCCTGTCTTTAAAAAAAAAGAAAGAAACGAGAACTTGGAGCTGGAGAGATGGCTCAGTGGTAAAGAGCCCTGGATGCTCTTCCAGAGGACCAGGGTTCAATTCTCAGCATCCATAGGGCAGCTCAAGACTCTCTGTAACTCCAGGAGTTTTCCAACACCCTCACACAGACAAAACACCCAATGCACATAGAATAGAAGTAAATTATTTTTTTTAAAAAAAGAAAGAAATGAGTGCTTGGTACTAGCCACTCGTCTTTGTCACCTAGGCCGTTCTGGTTTTTCTCTGTATCCTACCAGCACATCCTCGCACACCCAGTCTCTTCCCTTTCAGCTCTTGCCCCTTCTGAAGAATACACGGACCGCTTCAGTAGACCTGTCAGTGGATGTCCTCGCACCCCAACCAGCTGGTTCCTCTGTGTCTCTTCCCCTAGGCCTTCCTTCTTTGGTACCTGGTTTGTTGCTGCTCCTCTGGCCTGCCACTCTCTAGTGTTTTTAACACTCTCCTGCGCCTAGTCCACCTAGTTCACAGAGAAGGAAGCCTAGAAGCCATGCTGCAGTTCCTCAGCCACTTCGCAGCTTTCTGTATCACCCACCTCAGCCCTGCTGCAGGGCTGGTCTCACCGTCCCTCCCACCTCAGCCCTGCAGCGGGGCTGGTCTCACTGTCCCTTCACACCTCAGCCCTGCTGTGGGGCTGGTCTCACCATCCCTTCACAGGAGACTGATCTCATGTCCACTCCATCATCTTCCTTCCGACTTCAGCAAGTTTTTCTGTCTCATCCCTCAATATAACAGTAATCTTTCTTTGTGGATTTACTGACCTGTCTCTAGGTCTGATGTTATTGCCCACGTTTCTCCTAAAGTGTAGCTCTCTCTCTCTCTATTCTCTTATATTACTAAGAGCTGTCTCTTGCAAAGTTGGCTTTGTCCAGAAGACCAAAAGTTGTTATATTTGCGCTTGGTAGGCTGCCATCTAGTATATCTGTTCTGTGACATAGTGTCTACTTTCTCATAAACTGTAATAGTGCTTTTGTTGGTTTGTTTTTCCAGGTCAGGGTTTCTCTGTGCAACACTGGCTATCCTGGAAATCACTTTGTAGATCAGGCTGGCCATAAATGCACAGAAATCTGCCTGCCTCTGCCTCCCAAGTGCTGGGATTAAAGGTGTGCGTCATACCGCCTAGTGTAACAATGTATTTTACTTTCTGTCTTTTAGCATGTGTTAACTAAACAGAAATGGTGCTTTGTTCAGACAAGTTCATATGTGGTCCATTTTTTAAAATTTTTTTTAAAGATTTATTTATTTTTGTGATTGTATGTGTATTAATGTTTTGCTTGCATGTATGTACACTATGTGAGTTCCTGGTGCCCAAGAGGTCAGAAGAGGCATCGGCTCCCCTGGGACTGAAGTCACAGGCAATTGTGAGGTGCTGTGTGAGTGCTGAGAATCAACCTTGTCTTCTACAAGAGCAACAAGTCATCCTAACCACTGAACCAACTCGCTCACTCTATGCAACCATTTTGATCCTAGCTCCTCTTTTGCTGAGCGTTTTATAGTGGTTCGCTGTGTCTGGGCTGTTTCACCCGAACTTGGAGGTGCTGTAAAATCACCACTGTTATAAATGGGTCAAAAGAACAATGACTATGGAGTTCTGGAAAATCCAAATGGCGTGCTAGAAAGAAATTCTAGTCATTTAGATACATAGTCTCCCTTAGTCTGTGAGCCATGTCATGACACATGACTTGGGTGTTTGCTTCTACATTTGTTGGCTGTGTCTTACTCTTAGTTGCTGCGAACGAGCATTGACATAGAATGCCTCTCCTTACCTGCTTGGCATGCAATTCATCAGATGTGTGTGATTATTTCTAAGGGGCATCTAACACAGTGAAAGAAGCTTCTGCAGCTGGGGCTGGTGGAAAAGGCAGCAGTGAGTTCACCAGCCAGGTTTGAACTTGATGAAACTTGTATCCTTCCTTGTAACACGTTAATATCCATTAAATCTGTAAAGTAAGGTTGAAGCAGTGTTGATACAAAAATATAGATGTTTGTGGAAACCATGCTGTAAGTGAGTATAGTACTATGTAATTATTCCCATGGCCTTCCAGTCAGATTACCTTGAAAATCCAGAATGATCTTGATGAACAATAGAACATTATGATTTCATGGTTCCTCTGTATACCTCCTACGTAGAGGTATAATGCTTGTATCTAATAGGATTACCAAATTACATACCTTTTTGGTATTAGTAATGTGCCTAAAATACCAGTCTTCACTGGCCAGTTATGGTTTTGAAATGAACCTTTTATACCCATATGGAGTCTTCAGGTTTCTCGTCATTCTGAAAAAGTCAAGATGCTCTTTTTATTGAATTTTAAGTCTTGTTCAGTCCACAAAACAAGAGCTTCTTTCTATACCCCACACAGTATGGTTCTTTTATCTAGCCTGATGCCTTTGCAGGTTGATTTAACCCCATACTTGCTGTCTCAGCACATAGCACCTTCTGCTGCCCTCTAGTCTTCCTCTAGTGAGCCGGACAAGCAGGGCTGCTGGTGCCTGCTCTGCAGGACGGCAGGACAGAGGGGCCCGGAGCAGTGACAATGTGGAAGCAGACCAAAACAGTTGTCCCGGTTCCCTGTGGTTCTTTGGGAGGGATGGGCCAGTTGGTGAGTTCCTCAAAGGCACCCTTTCTTAGAACATTCTTGGGAAGATGACCAGAATTGGGTATCACAGCTTGGTCCCAGTCCCAGTAACTCTTCTATAACTCCCACCCAGGTCTTTGTTTCCAGTCTGGGCTTCCATATTAGTGTCCTCCGGTGCTGCAACAAAATAACAAAAGCACATGTCTTTAAAAGTTTCCGAGATTGAGTCCCATCTGCTTCCCTTCTCATCCCGCTTTCCCTGGTCTGTCCCAGTGAGGCCTGGAGCAGAGGATGAGGCGTTCTGGGCAGGTATCCTCTTGAAGTACTTGTTCCTGAATGTTTGTGCCTTCTGCAGGACATACTTTGGAAGGTGAATGGTAGGGAGATTCTGGATGGAGCAAACTCTTGAGTTTTTTTTTTTTTCTTTGTAGCGATTATTATGGTAAGGTAGCACTCTGGGAAACAGCTAAGTGTACTTTGTAGCACTTATACAAACGTGATCTCTCCTAGGAAGTTTCAGAGGAAGTAAGTGTTCTGTGGAGCTGAAGGGAATACTCCTACTTTCTTCCCTTATCCCCTTCAGAGACTTGGACTTTCCCAGTACATTAGTGGAATATTTGGACTTTTATAATAAAACTTATTGGGGAAAGACCTTTGCTCCTAGAAAGTCTTTTTATGGACCTCTTTCCTCTTGTCAAGTCATGGCGTCCTGACCTTTCCTGCGCGTCCTGTAGCACAGATTTGCTCGTGTTGTGACATTCCTCAGAAATTCTCACTCTCACTCACTCCTTTATTTTCCAAGAATCGCATGGTCCCTTTCTTGCCTTTAAAACGACCTCTGGTCCTCCGGCATACTGTTATCTTATGTGTACGTCAGTGTCCACTGCAATTGCCATTTCATTGTACATACCCCAGCTTTGCCGGTCCCCTTTCTGCCTCAGGTTCCTTCATGTCTTCTTGTACAGTTGAGTTTTACTTCTTTTTTTAGTGCCCAGTTCTGGCTTCAGTTTGCCCACAAAGCTTTCCTTATAATTTTTTTTAACGAGTCAGTGTGTGCGCATGTGTGACCATGCGCATACACACATGAATACAGAGGCCAAAAGAGGGCATTGGATTCACTGGAGCTAGAGTTAAAGCCCATTGTGAGCCACTGCTGTGGGTGCTGAGAACTGAACTTGTCGCTGGAAGAGAAGCAAGCTTTTTTAACTGCCGTGCTTTTGCCCAGGGAGGGTCCTCCCCTCCTAACTCTGCTCTCATTGTATTTGTCCCTTCATTTGGATTTATCTTTTCTGTGTACTGTCCCCAGACTAGTGCTAATTGTTTTTTGGGAACCAGAAGTTCCCTGAGTCTCACTATGGGCCTGATCTAGCTGAAGTTCCCTCTGTAGCATCCCTACTTCTCTGTGTGGTCAGGAGCTGCCGGTAAAGTTGGCTGCATGTGCTGTGTAAGGCTGTTAATAGCGAGCAGGTCTATTTCTCTGTTGCCATCACTCTAAAGTATCCAAGCTTTAATCCCAGAACCCCGCAATGTGTGAGGGAAGACTGAGGTCTCAGGTGTGGAGGAGACAGAAATCACAGGGCAGTTAGTGTCTGCCCACGTGCTCCGCCCCACCCTCCTTCACTTCTGTACACGATTGCCTCGCTGGGTGTGCGAGCAAATGCTAAGTGCTGATCTGCTAATTTGGAATTTGCAGTTTGATAATGGCATCCGATTGTTACTTCAGTGTTTGGTTGTGTGGTTTTATTTTGTATGGTTTTATTTTATAACTTTTTATATTTTTTTTATGTTGCAGGTTAATATCCTTCCAAGAATTTGTAGCATTTGAATCTGTTCTGTGTGCTCCCGATGCCCTGTTTATGGTGGCTTTCCAGCTGTTTGACAAAACCGGCAAAGGAGAGGTTACTTTTGGTAAGGAACACAGTGGTGGGAGCATTTCTTTGTTTTAGAAATGAAAGGGACCAATACACACTTTTTAAAAACATTTTTTATTTTATTGAAAATCCATTTTTTCCTCACATAAATATTCTGATTGTGGTTTCCTTTCCTCTTCTGCTTCAATCCCCTACTTCCCCCCCTCCCCTCCCATCCACTTCACTCCTTTTCTGTCTCATTAACAAACAGATTTCAAAGGGATAATAATATCATATGATAAAACAAAAAAAATGACACCTCAAGTTGGACCAAAAACAAAACAACAACAAAAAACAGAAGAAAAGGGTCCAAGAGAAGGCACAGGAAACAGAGTAACTTGTTTACAAACTCAATAATCCCATAAAACACTAAGCTATAAGCCACAGTATATCCATTAAGAACCTGGTGCAAACCTACTCAGGCCCTGTGCCTACTGCCCCATCTCTGTGAGTTCATATGAGCTTTGCTTATGTTGACAGAGAGGGCCTTGTTTTCCTGGTGCCCTCCATGGCCTCTGCCTCATACACCTTTTCCTCTAGGTTCCCTGAGCCCTGATGGGAGGGGTTTGATGGAGACATCTTATGTAGGGCTAAGTGTTCTGTCTGGCTGTGGGTCTCTGTGCTTGCTCACATCTGCTGCAGGAGGAAGCTTCTGATGATGGCTGAACAAGGCACTGATCATGAGTAGAGCAAAATGTCATGGAGTCATTTCAGCTTTCTTTTCATTGCTATTTTTCCTTCCTTCCTTCCTTCCTTCCTTCCTTCCTTCCTTCCTTCCTTCCTTCCTTCCTTCCTTCCTTCCTTCCTTCCTTCCTTCCTTCCTTCCTTTCAGAACAGTAGTATTTAATTTTGCCCTAGGTCCTGGGGCTATCTATCAGTTTCATCTTGTGCAGTGGGCCTAAATCAAATCAGACATTGGTTGGTTACTCCCACAGGCTTTATGCCACCATTGCCCTAGCATCTCTTGCAGGAAGGATATCATTGCAGATCAAAGAATTTGTGGCTGGGTTGACGCACACACATTCTCTTAAGAAGTTAGCATGCTCCTTTAAACAGTGGTCCACCGGGATCTGTAGCTCACACATCTTCCTCTTCGCAGAGGAAGGACTCTGCTCTGATGGAGCTTTAATACTTTAGTTCCTAGGTGGGCAGCAGTGGCCAGGAGTCCTGGCACAGTCACAGTAACAGCTAGAAAGATCTTGTATCCACTTTCCTCTCTGAGCTATGCTTTCCTCTGCCGGGGTGATGGTCAGCCTCCCACCACCAGACGTTCCCACACACCCAGTGTTTATTGTGGTCACCTGTCCTCGCAGGACAGGTCGCTGGTGTGGAATGGTCCTGTGTACCATGGGCTTCGAACTGGTCCTCACCAGCTCCTGCGCTTCCCAGCGGCTGCGTTTTCAGTTTTAAATGATGACTGCATCTTCATCAGTGTTCGCTGCAAGGCCGTAGCAGATCTCCCAAGTTTAGAAGTAGAAGGCCTGGAGGTGCTGAGACTGGAGTGCGCTTTAAAGTTCATAGCTAATGAAGTTCCGGAAAGTTCTATGAGTGCCACGGACTAAGATTTCTGGGAACCCGCTGCCCCCTTGCCTAGATAGAAGCATGGGGCCCGTTGATCATGTGGATTGTACTTTAGGGTAAATGGCCGATGTAACCGTGTGTGTTTTCTTGTTGCTGTGACCACATAGCTAACAAAAGGCAACCTAAGAGAGAAAGCAGTGACTTTTGCTTACGGTTTGAGGTGCACGTCTATCTAGGGAAGGCACTGAGGCAGGAGCATGAGACAGGAGCGTGAGGCAGCTTGTCACTTTGTGTCCAGAATCAGGAAGCAGGGAGCTGACTTCAGAATTCCACTCATTTTTCAGTCTGAGACACCAGGTGGAATTGTGCCACGCACATTCAAGGTGGGTCACCCCCTTCTCAGATAAATCTTTCTGGAAACACCCTCATGATACATCCAGAAGAGTGTGTCCACGTGATTCTAAAGGCAAGTTTTTATGAAGGTTAATCATCACAGTGCCCATTTTAAATGTTGATTCTGTTTTCTGATTTTGGGGTGTGCCTTGTTTTGGTGTTTTGTGGGAAGGGCACAGATGAGGGACAAATACAGATGATGTCGCACAGTGCAGGTTCTCAACCAAGCATAGTTCACCACCTCAGCTTTGCTGTTTCGTCCCTCTGCACAGTTGTGTCCATTTCTTATCAGAAGTGGAGCTAATAATGCCATAGGTGAATTGATTGATTGTACTGGCCTTTTGCGCAGAGCTTTCCAGGTCCGCAGCAACTGTGTCCACACAGCTTCTGGCAGAGCAGCCCTGAAAAGGCACCATGCAAGTCTTCAGTGAGCCCGTGAGCACCAGCTCAGGGTAGCGTGGAGCCGGTGGGAGTTGGTCTAATGACCTTGTTATGGCAGTGTTACCTTCTGGGTCCCACGCAGTGCAGTGTGTTGCCTCTTCTGCTTCCTTTGCTCTTCCAAGTTTGAGTAGAAATGGGAGGAAGCTGGGTTGGGGTGAAGAAAGTAAGGAATGAACTCCTGATACATAACACTCTTTTGGTCAAAGGGACAAATTGACAAGGGATATTGGTGGCAACAGCCATGCTGGTGGAGGAAGCACACAGTGTCAGTTACTTTTCTTGGCTGAAAGAAAGTTAAGGAGGGGAGAGTTATTCTGGCTTACAGTTACAGGAGCTACAGTCTCCAGCGGGAAACATGTGGTGCAGGAGTCTGTGGCTGGGTATACTGCACACAGTCAGAGGCAGGGAACCGACAGGAAGTGAGGTCTGTCCTGATGACATCCATCCCCCAATGAGGCTCTACCTCCTACAGGTTCTGCCAACCTTCAGAACCCACTGCTAACTGGATACCAGGTCTTAAGAAACACAAGCCTGTGAGGGAGACTTCACTTTATCAAGAGACCCCGACTCTCCCAGCACAGGGGAGGTGTTAGGACAGAGAAGCAGGGCAGACACACAAGAGTCACCCATGGACTTGGAAAGGACAGCATTGTGAGGATGATGGGTGGGTGAGTGATTTTAGCTTTCTGAATGTTATCTATAAAGCAGACACTGTGCCTCCTCTTTCCAGCCCACATGAAAAACATCGCTGCATATGGGGCGCTATGTGAAAAGTAAAGGTCTTTATAAAAATGATAGTATTAAAGCAATAGCCTGAGTAAAGCCCCCCCCCCCCGTCTTGATTACTTTTCTGTTGCTGCAATAAGGCACCATGATCAAGGTACTTTATAGAAGAAAGAGTTTAATTTGGGGCTTATGGGCTCGCAGGTTAGAGTCCATGATGACATCTCAAGGTCATGGTGGCAGGAACAACTGAGAATCGATATAATAATCCCTAAGCAGGAGGTTGTGGTGGGGAACAGACAGAGACAGACTGACATTCTGGAATGGCTCCAGCCTTTTGCAAACTCAAACACACATTTTCCAACAAGACCATACTTCTAGTCCTTCTAAAATAGTTCCACCAGCTGCAGAGCAAATGTTCAAATAAATGAGCCCCTGGGGACTGCTGTCATTCAAGCTATGATACTTATCTATCTTTTTCTTAGTCTTTGGGAAATTCTTTGACACAGTAGTGCTACCATAATTCATCTGCGGTGTGCTGAGCACTGTCCATCTCTCGGGCCATGTGAGATGGACAGTCCCAATTCTGGGGTGTTCACATTCTGTTTATGCCATCAACTGCCTGTGACTGGTGCAGAATGCACAGCCCCTCCACCACTACCCTGCCCATACATAATTCACATTGTATCATCACTTAAATACGGTGACGTGTTGAATGCATGTCCTGTGTGCATTTATGATAAATCTGTTAGGAGCCCCCATACCGATCTCGTTAAAATATGGCCTAGGTAGTCTGAACCATTAACCCGAGATGATTCCAGTGAAGAGAAGCGCACAGTACTAAAGGATCCAGATAACCTTTGAACTGCAGATTAATACCAAGGGTCTAACATTTTTCGCGGGATAGGGCTGTCATGTAGTTGTTCAGGGAAACAGAGTCAAATGGGCAGTGGCAGCCTAAGGACTTTGTACAACAAGTGCTCTAAGAAGTTAGCAATGTGTTCTGGGAAATTCATCATAGATCTGAAGAAATAAAAACAACCAGGCAGCCACACGGCAGTGGGGTTGGACAAGCCAAGAGGACTTTCCTCCTCAGTCCTGGTGTCACCAGCCCGAAGTCCTCAGAGAACAGAAGTCCAGGTGCATAGCCTGCCCGAGTGTCTACGTGAGGCTTGTTCACGTGCTGCCCTTAGCCCTTAGAAATTCCATGTCTAGCCTGGACCTCTTGCATCTTTGGAAGTGGTGAATGGCAGGCGTCCCAGACTGGCTCTGTCCACTGTGGTGATCATAAAGGGGGCGTTGTTTCTGCACTGTACTCTGGCCACTTGGAACTTTTCTCTGGACCACAGGGAAGGTTTGAGAGTGGTCTCACTCCCTGCCCACACCCCAGCCTTACATTTCATCCAGGGTGAGAGCAGGTGCGCTCCTCACCTGTTGGTGGACAGGGCTTCCACAGGAGATCGGCTTCTGCAGGAGGGGTCGGGGTGCACCAGTGCTTGTCACCAGTGCCATAGGCCCACCTTCAGTAATGCTGGCGTGCTACTCACCCAAGTCAACAGACAGTGTGACATGTCACAAAAGTCGTACTCCAAAAACCCTTTCTCTCTCTCTCTCTCTCTCTCTCTCTCTCTCTCTCTCTCTCTCTCTCTCTCTCTCTCTTTCTTTCTTTCTTCTCTGAAATCCTTCCCTATGTTTGCTACAATGAAAAGACCCCAATTAGGCCAATTTTCTTCTTTCATATCCAGCTCATTACTTTCTGCTTCCTGTGAAAACATTCACCTTTGCTATTTTTGTTCTCACTATGCTTTCTTCTTTTCTTCTTCCTTTGTCTCTACAGATGTAATCCAGGCTCTCTGCACATCAGCCGGGTTCTCTACCATTCTGCTTTCTAGTTTGATACTGTTATTTACAAGTAGCATT